AGCAGACCATAGTCTCGATATCTTATCAACAAACACTTGACAAAAGTATCATAGCTAATAGTCTGTTTCTAGGACATTAGACGCTCAGAACAACTGATATGGATATGAACTAGCTGATGCTATAATAGCAGAGAAGTGACCTTTCTTTGCTGCCGTCACCACCACTTTATAGTTCCTACAATGAGCTCTATAGCATGATCTGTCAGATTCAGTACAAGTTCTCTGCCAACACTGTTCTTAGACCTCTCCCAACCATTTTCAGATCACCGAGCTCTGTGGTAAACCTTGCTCCATGTTCTTTTTTATTCCCACCTCTCAGTGTGGCATTATTTCCCTCCCAACAGGTCAAAGCCATGGTGCACTGCTGCATCGGGAATTTAATATGGTCACCTGGAAGAATGAGCTCTGATCCAAAATCTGTCTAAGTGGCCTTAATCTCAGCCACCATCTACAATATAAGGATAATATTGGCCCACTTTAAAGGGCTTTATGTAACAGTGCTATATAAATTATAAGTATTATTATTTGAGAAGGTGAGAATATCAAGAATTATTTTTACATTTTGTTTTTAAATGGCCATTGAAAAATTAAACCCAAATTACACATTGAGCACTGAACAGTGCAGAAAACTTAAAGTATGATTGTAAATTAATCTTCCCACACAGCAATTGATCAAGCAACAACCCCCAAATAAGCACATTTAGAACGGCCTTTCTGTTTTTCACACATGCACACCAATAACAGGAATTATGCTGAAAAACACTTTTAAGTGGCTTATGTGAATTTGATCTCAAGCTCCTATGCAAATATAGCCATTATTTTTTCTACTTCATGCAAAAAAAAGTATATGTTTTCAGCATAACTGTCATGGTAACATAGAAGAGTAATACAAAGATTCATACAATTCAGATTATGAAACTTATTTTTATTGGGCCAGTCATATTAATAAAGTTAACAAGTATTTGAGTTGCACAGAAATACTCTATGCTTTTGTGCCTGAATAATTCTTTATAACACAAAAACTTGCCACTATTTCCAGACATAAGTAGTCCAGTAAAAATATTATCTGAATCTTCTAAATCCCCTTTGTCCTTTAAACCACTGCATCATAGTCCTCTTAACACATTTAAAAAGTATAATTGACACACAGAACATTGTGATTTTTCAGTATCCAAAATTAAATTAGGTTACATATTTGTGAACAGTTCTTATAAATCCAATCTCCTCCTCTTCTTTCAAACCAACTAGCATATATTAAACTGTTATCAATCTGTTCTGTTTGAAGTGTGTGTGTGTGAATATCTCTCTAAATCACACTTATTCTATCAAAGCTTTGAATATGAGTCAGAATCAACTTTTGCCTTTAAGCTTCAGTATTATCTACATTTTGACTCTTCTGTAATGAATTCAGTTGAAGGCTGGCTCATTTAAAGAAGACAAAAATACATAATAATTTTCCAATATTTTTGAAAGGAAAGTAAAAACCTACAACTTTCAAATTCCTGGCCAGGTACTCTAGCTTCTTAGTCACTGTAATGAATCATCGTGATGTAGCTGTATCCACCCTCTTTATCACTGGTACTCAGACACAATTTTTAGATCTTCCGCAAACGGAGCAGATCATTTAAAGGGACCTCTTATAATGGCTTTGAGTTAAATTATCCTTGACATATGCAAATTTCTGAGCTGCGTACACAATCTGTTATTCTAGAGTTTGATCATTCAGGGGCTGAATACAATGAAAGTTCCCGTGCAGATCATTTTTCATTCCAGATTTAATCACAGCTTGAACCCCACACCCTGTTACTGCTGTTAAAGATGCAAAGCATGCTGCAAAGTGGTATAATCTAACATGGAAGACAGCTATCACAATAAAACTTGATATGTATGCTTATGTCATAATTCTCAGTTTGAACACCAGGTCAATTTCATGCACCCTTAGGCAGACAGAAGGGACAGGGCAGAAGAAAAGATGCAAAAGGAAACTGTGGTGCAATATCTGAAGTGAGGCCTCTCAAGCTACTAGAGTAAATTAAATGTTTGAGGTGTTAAGAGCAGAAGCATGCACCATTTCCCCCCAGACCCATTGTACAGTCGCCTGTTGTCTTCCTCTCCTTTTTCTCTTAAGCAACAAAGGGAGTATGTAGACTCTAGCCACACTATCATACCTGTGGATCATGGAACAAGTCTCTTTTTCCTGCTACTAAACTTTTGAAAATGTCTGCTGATCTGTTTAGGGATCAAATCCTACCTAAAAACATAACAGCCTGTAGGAACCATAAAGTCCAGCATCCTTTCCCCAGCACTGGCCACCAGATTCCTTGAGGAAGCCCGCAAGCAGGACAGAAAAGAACAGAGTCTATACATCATTTGTTTCCCATTTAAGTGGTTTTCAGAGGTATACCACCTCTGAGTTTCCAGTCCTGACTGATAGCCATTGATAGACCTATTTTTCTGGCTTCTGAGTCTAGGTTCCAAACACAACTAACTCCTGTGTCGACATCAATGTAATACAAGATTCTAAATGAGAACTAATGGAATTTTTAGTCATATTTGGCTGGACAAAAAAGAATGATATTCAGGCTATATTTAGCCAATGGTCCTAAAGAGGTCAAGCAGCACAGGAAGCTTTTGCTGCTTTTCCAAACATTAAGGATTATTCAGAAAAATCAGACCACTGAAATATGAAGTTAGATCAGGAGTAATGCAGGCCTGTTTATTCGCTCAATGAAGATTCAGAAATTCAATGAATGGGTACTGTTGAATTTCCTGAAAGGTCGTAGACTGCAATTAAGGTTGGGTTCCATTTTAAAAATATCCTGCTTTCAATGACTTCATTATTTTACTTAAAATGTGTAAATATTGGCACACAGAATGAACTCTCAAAAGTATCACAAAATGTTCAAACTGGGAGACCGGAATAAGGTTGGGGAAAGATTGCCAGCTAACAGAGGAATGTTATAAAGCCCTCCCTTCAGACTTTAAGAAGGTACTTTGTTTTTAAAAGATGGGAAGGGAGAAGTAGGGTAACCAAAGGTTTTAACATTTTTTAAAAACAGAAAACTGAGGTACTAATGGAGGAATATTTTTAAAATTGTTTTAAATTCACAAGGAATTTCAGATATCTGGCATTATTTACATTCGTTCAAGTTGTCATCTTAAAAGATACACAGATATACATTCTTTGTTTAATTTATACCGGTGAAAGAATATACAAGCTTTTGAGTTGGGCAAAACTACTTTGTAGGTAAAAGGAAGGCGTCTCATTTATGTCAGATTCCTTATAACTGCTTTTGAGGTCTGAGCCGTAGACCCAGGTCCTCTGAATTACTTGGGGTTCAGTCCTATTTAAATGAGTGGAGTTTACTTTTGAGTAAACATGTATAAGACTGGACCAGCAATTAGTGATTTTATTTGCATCAGGATATAAGTATGTGGCGTGGGTGGACATTAGAAACATAGGATTTACATTAGTATATCCTAAGGAAAAAGCAGGCTTTTTTCAACTATGTAAACCCTGCGACTGAGCAAAGGGGCTAGGAAGGACATCTTCATCCCACCCCTGGTAACCCTTTGCTACTACTAGCACATCTTAAAGTGCTTGCTGTTTAAAATCTTATACTCTGTCAGTTTATTCCCCATTTTACCAATTCCTTGTCCAGAAATTACCCCCATGTTGTCCAAGGGTATATTTTCTACAAGGAACTGCAGAAATTTATTTTATTTAAAACACTTCTACTTTTGATTTTTCAAACGAGTCAAAGTGGCTCACAATAACTACCACACAAATACCAGAAGATGTTTCATGATCCTACACACATGTGGCTGTGTGTGCTAAATGTTTCATCAAACTCCTTTACAAACCAGGTGCTCTCCCACTACTTGCTTGGAAGCGAGGGCTTTTCAATATAGTGAATATTGTTGTAGTTTTAATGTCAGTGAAAATTTTAGGCAACTTTCATTCTGTTTGATGTATTGTATTTTTATTGCCCTGTTCTCCTATTTGAAACCCTGTCTTATTGCATTGTTGCATGTTTTATAATTTTCTTGTTATATTTTAATTGTGTAATCTGCATTAATTCTTAGTGAGAACGGCAGGCCATAAATTAAGTAAACAAATAAATAAATCAGTATTGTCTCCAACACTGAAGGAGCCCGAGATGCTTGGGAGAAAACCTGAGCATGTAAATATTTTAAATAAACCAATATCACTATCACACTTCTTTCAGCTCAGATAGAGGATCCCCATTTATCTCACTGCTCCCCCTTTTCCCACCATCTTCCCCAATTTGCAACACACTCACCAACCCTCCTCTCAGCTGCTTCTAGCCTGCATGCTTTCTCCCCTCCCCACCCATGCAGGCCATTACTGTCCCTGGGGATCAGCTCCACCGTTCTCTCAGATGTCTCACCACACTGTTCCTGGCTCAGGCTCTCCCTCTCAATCCCTAGTTCAGACCTCATCCCATCAACTCCCCGAGCCTTTTTAGCTCCTTGCTTCTCTCAGGGTGTTTCTCCCCACTGCCCCCTCAAGTGTTCCACACTCAGGTCCTAATTTCAATTTACAACAATTCTCACACACACACCCCAGCCTACCTTTATTTGAAACCCCACTTCCCTCTAGTCCCTCAAATCCCTCGCTCCTGCCCTTATGTCAAGTGCACACCTAGTTCAAGCCGTCGCCAGCAGCTGCAATGACGACCATCCTTAACTCCCAAGCATTTCACAGACAATCTTCCCTCGGACTAAACTTTCCTTTCCTCATATCTTACTTCCCTCGGTCTACCTTTATTTAGCCTCCTCCCGTTCTTTTCCTGGATCGCCAGACGCACCCCCGACCCCCGTTTGCCTCCCATTCTCCCTTAGTTTCCCCCCTTCAGGCCCCAATTTCCCTTCAGCTTCATTTCCCCCCCTTTCCCCTCTCCCCCGCCGGTGTTCCCTCCCCGTAGGCGGGCAAAGGGTGACGTTGCAGAGGCGGAGGCAGTGTCCGCGCTCCACCTCTTCGGGCCGGAGGAAGAGGCTGAGGTGCCGACGACGGCCGGGAAGAAGCGAGAAGGCCCCGTAGTGGCGGCAGGAGCAGCAGCAGCAGCAGCCGTATCCCCCTTGCTGGTTCACCGGGTCACCCTCTCTGGCTCGTGCCCTTTGCCCGACATAGCCGCCGAGTCCGCACAGAAGACCCCGCCAGCCTGCTCCCTTGGGCAGGCCTTCTTCGCCACAGCCCCTGCCGCTTTCGTCCCCTTCTGCGCGCCGCCGCCGCCGGGCCTCTCTCTTTCTCTCCTCGCTTCCTCCCCGGGCCCCCTCCCGGGGAGGAAGCGGGTCATGGGCTGCGGCAGAGGAGGAGGAGCCGACGCCGGGCAGGCCGCGCCGACCTCCCTCGCAGCAGCCGCGGCAGCGCAACCACTGATGCCTGGGCGCCGCTAGCCCGGCCCCAGCGAGCAGAGGACGACAAGGAAGAGACGTTCCCCGGCCCCTGCCGGGGGAGGAGAAGAGGGCTGAGGTAAGTGGGAAG